GAATGACGTGGCGTGATACTAGTCACGTGACCTCGATGTCGTAACAATAGGTAGCTTCAGTTGGGCATATGGATACACCCGTGTATAAAATCTTATTGACTCAATGCTCGACTACCTTAACCCACAGAGAGAGCGTCTGTATCACACGCATGACGGGTGATTTCAACTATCTTGTGTCTATTCTTAAAACAGGAACCCCTTATTTACCTGCTCTTTCTGTGTTATTATTATTAAATAAAACTAAACCATTATACGGATTCAGCAGGATTTTGCGTTGCCTGTTTCGCCCATATGGACGTACATTTAGTTATATTTACACAGAAAAACGATTAAATTGACACACACAGGATTTTATTCGGAGATCTAATGTGTTTCGTTCATTTAGGGCTAGAGAAATACAATATTGTCATAAATACAAGTCTTCGAATTACTTGCTGACTGTTTTTTGGGGTGGGTGGGGGATTCTCAATAAATTTTGAATTGTTTTGGTTTGCTCTTTAAAAACCCCTCTTGTTTGAGTGTACTTTTCTCTCTGTGTGTGTTGCAGATAAGACAACAATATAGTAGTATTATTGAAACAGTAATACTATGTACCCAATCGTAACCCTTTGTTTGATCTCCGTTAATATCGTTTTTACAATCAATGTGTGATACCTTTGTGAATTGTGAGGTTATTAAAAATCGTCGTTTCTGGATGATATTCCAACAAACCTATCTGTAAAGTAAGTCGCCAAGAAGATTATATTTAAATTGTTGTATGCTGTTTTTATTTAGACGTTTGCATTGTTTCGAGAATGATTTTAATGTATTGGTACGTAAGTCAGGCGAGACTTTAATGTAGAGTTGGTCAGATCACATTAAATTTTAACGAAATACTAGAAAGGCTAGAGACGTTAATAAGTTAGTGATTATTTACCGCTGTATGTGAACTTAGCCACTCGTAGAAGTTGTCGGAGAAATAAAACGTATTCCTTATCATTAAGAGGTCTGGATTTTGCTTTGTTTTGGCGAATAAACCCTTATTAAACTCATCCAACAATATAAACCATTTCTCACAATATGATAAGGGGGGGGGGGAGGTTGGTGCGATGAATAGCAAATATTGTTCTTAACGTAGATAGCTTTCTTCGTAAATATTGAAAATTGATGTGAGTCGTATAGAAATAACATGTAGCTCAAACAAAACCTCAGATTCTCTATTCCAAGAGTAATTCAGTATGTATTGAAAATTGGTGTGCGTCGTATAGAAATAACTTGTGGCTCAAACAAAACCCCAGATTCTCTATTCCAAGAGTAATTCAGTATTGAAAATTGATGTGCGTCGTATAGAAATAACTTATGGCTCAAACAAAACCCCAGATTCTCTATTCCAAGAGTAATTCAGTATGTATTGAAAATTGATGTGCGTCGTATAGAAATAACTTGTGGCTCAAACAAAACCCCAGATTCTCTATTATAAGAGTAATTCAGTATGTATTGAAAATTGATGTGCGTGGTATTGAAATAACTTGTGGCTCAAACAAAACCCCAGATTCTATATTCCAAGAGTAATTCAGTATGAACCACCAAAACGTTGTAAAAGGAAAACGCACTTTTTGTTGCATTGGAAAAGCTTTGAATCAATATTGATATTGATTTTGTTGCTCGTTTTACAGTTAAAACCACGTGCACATTCTTGGTATACAAACGCTCCGGTGAATATTTCTGGGTCGTGCGTAAAATGTACAGTACTTGTTAATGGTGGTTAAAAGAGGGTTAGGATATTGAATATTCTCCATTTAAACGGTAATTTTGTGTAGATAAGAGCTATAATCTTTGTTTTGGACACTTAAATGTAAAGATAAGTTGATCTTCTTGACCAGCTTCATCTAGTGGTTTGACCTATCACGTTATACATATCTGCTAAAGAAAACGTTTCTTGATGTTTGTGGTCACTAGAGGGCTTATAATTTTCCTAGTAGTAATACATTATAATCCTTTGAAAATTTAGCAGGACTTTACGAAACGTTGGGATGTGTGTACTTCAATAATCTTAAAACACCGAATTAATGCATTAGATTTAGCTGTATTTTTTTATATGATAATTATGTTCTCGTTTCACCATTCCTTCTTTTGTAACTACAGGTCGTAGACACAAGCAAACATTGCGGAATATTGTGCAAAGTCTTGAAGTTGTGTGTTCACAGCGATGTTATGACGCGCGTGTATGTACGTATACATACACGTGTATACAAATAACCAATAGATGTAGAGTTCTAGAGGGTGGGGGATTGAACGTTTTCATAGATTTCCTAATGGAATAGGCTTCGATAACATACCCACATAGCAGATAAGACATGCATATTTCATCATTAGTGAGTTGGGTTGGTAAATATAAACGAAACTTAAATGTGTTTATCACTCACTATTTACTTTTAGTGGAAAGCAATATATGTAGTAACCACTCCTTTTCTTCTTTATATGGGCCCGGCATGGCCAGGTGGTTAAGGCACTCGACTCGCAATCTGAGGGTCGCGGGTTCGAATCCCTGTCGCACCAAACATGCTCGCCCTTTTAGCCGTGGGGGCGTTATAATGTGACGGTCAATCCCACTATTCGTTGGTAAAAGAGTAGCCCAAAGAGTTGGCGGTGGGTGGTGATGACTAGCTGCCTTCCCTCTAGTCTTACACTGCTAAATTAGGGACGGCTAGCGCAGATAGCTCTCGTGTAGCTTTGCGCGAAATTCAAAAACAAACAATCTTCTTTATAATTGTGCTATAAACATATAGGTAATATTTAATACAATAATCTAACGTTATTTTTCCTGCCCTTTGAGGACAAAAGAGACTCTATGGCTCTTGAATAATTACGAAGTGGTACTAT